GCGCGCGGAGACCGCGGGGGCGGCCCTCGCCGAGGCCGGGCTCGTGCGCGCTGCTCGCCCTGGCGGACGCGGCCACGTCCTCGACGGCCGCCGCCTGGGGGGCGCGGGGTAGCCCGGGGGGCCGAGCGGGCGCGCGCAGGTGGCAGCTCGGCCGCGCCCGCCCCCGGCCCCGCCCTCTGCACCCCCCGCCCCGGCCCCTCGCCGCCCCGCGCCCAGCACCCCCGGGCCGGATGCCCCTGTGCGGTGCCGTCGGCCCGGACGCGCGCCAGGCGCAGGGCCACGCGGGGAGGCGGCGCCGCGGGGAGGCCGTGGCCCGCGGCGAGCTGCGCGCGGGAGGTGCGCCCCGGGACCCGCGCGGGGCAGGGGAGCGCGGGCGAGGCACGACCCGCAAGCGGCGGGGCAGCGGCCCCGCGCAGGGTCCGAGCCCGACGGGGGCGCCGCCTGGGCGGAGGGGGCACAACAGGGGGCGCCGGGTCCCCAGGACAGGGAGCGCCTTGGGGCGCCAGGTGACCTGAGCGCGCGGAGGGCCCCGCGGCCCGGGAGAGCCCACGGCCGGGCATGGCCGAGGCGCGCCCGAGAGGCCCCTCGGGAAAGGCTTGACTTTGGAGCTGAGCTCGAGGCCGAGGTGAGGTCAACCCCGGGGCGCCCCTGCTTCTTGCTGCTACGGTTGAGACAAAAGCCACGTCGCAGCTTCTGGGAGAACTTCGGGGGCCGCGTGAGCGGGGGTGCTCCCCCCCGGGGTGCTCCGGGGCGTCCTGCTGCTCCCTTCCCGGCCCCGGCGGGCGCCGGGCACCTGCGCGGGCACAGCACCCCTGGGGGGGCATGTCACGCGGGTGAAACGCCGGGCCGGGCGGCGCGCAGCGGGCTTTTTAAAATGGCAGCTCTCGTGCCGAAGACTGGGGCGGGCGGACACTCGGAGGGTGCGGACCAGCCCTGCTGCGGGCGGGGCGGGCGGCTGGGCCGTTCTCCATTGGAGGGGACGCAGACGTTCCACACCGGGGGGGCTGGAATCTGGATTAGCCGCTGTTTCCTCGGCCCCGCCCACTCCCCCATCCGGCTCCCCAACTGGGAGGTTAAGGGTTAACCCTAGGAAGCCCCCTCTTCACCTGGATGGGTCTGGGGCAGGGAACTTCCTCTTGCATTTTCCTGGAGTTCTCTCCTGGGTTGGCTGGTACCGACTCTGGCCCTGGGGCCCTCAGAGAACCCCCAGCACCTCCTCCTCCTAGTGGGGACCCTGAGAGGTGAGTTGCAAGCAGGCCTGGGGTGCAGGCTGCCAGGACAGACTCCACACACGAGAGACAGAGCGAGAGAGAGAAGGAGGGTGCCCGACCTTAGCAGTGGGGTGAGGGGCTGGGGCTGGAAGAAAGCCTTGGGGGGAATGTGGGTCGGCCGCGGGAGGGAAGGCCCAGGTCAGGTCAGAGGCCAAGGTGCAGGGAAGGAGTCTGCTCCCGGGCTGGTGCAGATGGGCGAGGGACGGGCTCCTGACGGCCTGTGTCTAGGGCTTCCTGTACCCCCGGGGAGGCCCCCAGGCGGGCTGACCAGCCTCACACACCAGCCCTGGGAGGGGAGCTGGGCTGACCATGGCCAGGGAGAGAGTTCCTGGCTGGGACCCCACTCTTGATTTCACAGGGTCTGGGCGGGCCTTAGGCAGCACCCCACCCTGGGCTGCTCCAGCCCACACTCCTCTCCTCCCTGGGCTCCAAATTGAGCTGGTCCAGTATTGGAGGCTGGCTGAGTAGCCCAGGGCGGCGGACCCCCCACCGGTGTGCATGTTAATAGAGCTTTTGTCCCGGGGCCCTGGGGGAGGGAGAGGCCCGGGCCCACTGGCCTTGAATTCCTCCTCTTTCTGACCTTTCCGGAGGCCTCACCTGGAGTTCCGGCGCCCCGCGAACGGGCCTGGGGCTGGAATTTGGAAGCCCCTTCTTTGTTCTGATACCACCCTGCGCTGTTCTGGGTAAAACTAGGCCAAAGGAGCCGAGGGCTGTTAGGGCCGCGCCAGCGGGAGGAGATCGGGAGATCGGGTCCTTTTCAGGTCTGAGCTTTCGCAGGGGAGGGGTCAAGCTCGGCGTCTCTGGCAGAGCCAATCTTACCTCCCCCACCCCGTGTGACCGTGGCCCGCGCCCGCTGTCTCAGAGCGTGGTGTCTGCACTTGTCGTTGGAAAACTTCCACTTGGCCGGGCACAGGAGCGGAGCCGGCCCCTGGCTACGCAATGAAACAAAAGCCTTTTTAAAAAAACATTTTATTTATGTATTTATTCATACAAGAACTGGGGTGTAGGCCAGAGGTGCAGGTGGTGAGAGGATCCACCAGAGGCAGAGTGGGGAGCAGAACAGGCGGATCTACTGGAATCCACTGCTGAGGGGAGCAGTGGGGAGACAGGAGAGGTCTGCTGCGCCCTGTGGGTAGCTCCCTGGCCGGGGATCACACTCAGGCCGCAGTGGTGACAGCACTGAGACTAACCCCTAGGCCACCAGGGAGGCCCAAAGCCCATTTTCTTAAACATTTATCAAAGACCTTTCCTGCAGGGCCTCCCCGGTGGCACAGTGGTTGAGCGCTGGGTTGGGAAGCTGTCCGCAGCCTCTGCAGTGCTGGTTTAATCCCCGGCCGCCGGGCGAGGGTCCCGCATGGCGCGCAGACCTCTCCTGCCGCCCGCTGCCCCCTCAGCAGTGTACTTCGGTCCTTCTGCCTGCTCTGCTCCCCGCTCTGGCTCTGGTGAATTCTCTCACCCTCCCGTGCTGCTGACTGTACCCAGTGCATGTATAAATAAATTAATTAATTAAAAAAAAGAAAAGACCTTTCCTGCACCCAATGTATTTGCAGGCTTCCTCCCTTCCTAGGTGAGCAGTCTCGTTTTGTTATTTCCACTAACCAACACGGAAGTCACTTCAAGGTCTGGGCGAGCGGTGCTGGGACTCAGGCACACCCACCGGGATGGACATGTGGGTGGTGTCGGCTGGTGTGGGGTCCTGGAGAAGCGGCCCGGGTGGGGGGAGCAGGTGGCAGGAAGGTCAGATGCCAGGGTGCAGGCAAGAAGGGAGGTTGGACAGGCTGCCCCGGGAGGGCGGGGGGCGACGTGCTGGGGAGATGGCCACACGGGGCTGCTTTGAGGAGGTAAGCCAGGCAGCCCCGGGGTGGCCACAGGGTGGAGGCAGCATGGAAAGCAGGGAGGACAGAGAGGCATTGGAACCTGGGTTCCTGTGTCTAGAAAGTCATCCTGTCCAGACTGAAAGCTGCTCTGGTCTCTGGAAGGGAAGCCAGCCAGTTCAAGAGAGTCGGCTGGGTCGCCCTCTGGATTGTGATCAAGGACAGAACTGAGTCCCCTATGGGTGGGGCTTAATTTGGGGCACTTCCCCAGGGGTAGCCTGGCTCATCCCCAAAGCGGGGAGTGGCCCCACAGAACCTTTTGGGGTGAGGGGGCCAGGATGGGCTTGGGAGGAGCAGAATGGGATTGTCAGCCCCATGGAACCGGCGCCCCCTGGTGGCCGATGGGAAGCACTGACTCCATTGCTGGCCACGCTCAGTCCTGCGGGGACCCGGCCTCCAGGTGGGTTAGACCAAGGAAGAATCCAGAATTTAAATAAAATATATTTTAAAAAAGGGAGATGACTGGCCCCCAATATCCCCGCTCTCCGGGGCACACGCACTAGGAGCTCTGGAGTGGGCAAGCCCCGGGAGCTGCAGCCTCAGTCCGGCCCCCAGACCCACAGCTCCCCTGACTCTGGGGGTGGAGCCCAGGCCCGCGCTGGTCATCTGGGGGCCTCGGCCTTGGCTGCTGAGCCGTATAGCGAGGGTCAGGCTGTCTGAGAGGCCGCATGTGTGAGCGCGCTCCCTGGGCCCTGTTGTGTTTTGAATTTGCAAGCACCCAAAGAGCTGGGAGAGCAGAGCCACGGACGCCCACACGCCCAGCCCCAGACTCGGCCACGTTTGCCTGGTCCGTCCGGCTGGACCCTCCAGACCCATCACCCCCCGGCCCTGCAGCGTCTTCTGACAAGAAAGACGTTTACCAGCTAGCACAGAGCCAGACGCGCAGGTACGTCCATCGCACGCGCCCCTCCACTCCCACATTTCTCGGTGGCTTTTAGAGCCTGCTTTTTAAAAAACCAGCATCCGGTTGAGGCTGGGGCACTTGGCGGCGTGGCTGGCAGCCTCCTGCGGGGCCACCCCTCCCCGCTTCGGCGTCCGTCTTGGGGATCTGTCCCGTCCGCTCCACTTGTCCGGATTTCTTCTCTTTGAGCTGGGGTGGGCCTAAGGCGGGGTTGGGTGGCAACAGGCCCTCTATGGCTAGGGCCACCCTGGCGGTGCTGGGCCCGCGGCTGCGGCAGGGGGTGGGGCCAGACAGACGCCTCGGGGCCACGGGCACAGACGGGACCCGCCATCACGTCCCACCTCCCGGGGTGGGCCGGGCTGAGCCCCCAGGGCCACCGGGGCCACATCTGGTTTTTCAAGAACTTTCCTTTAGAAATCCTGAAGGGATCCTGCGCCGGCTGGGTCAGGGGTTGTCCAGGAAGTGGCCTGAAAACTCCCCTTTTCAGAAGGAAAAGCACTCCCCTCTCACGCCCCCAAGAGCGGGCTGTCATGTCTGTGCCGGCTTCTCTCCAACCCTGGAAAACGTCTCAAAGAGTGATCGCTTCCTCCGTCCCCGTGTGCCTGCGCTCTCCGTTTCTTCGGGAACAAACGTCCCTCCTCCCCGTGGGGTCGCCTTGGGCTTGGGCCGGGGGCAGCAGGCAGGACGCAGGGTCTCCTCGCGGGCACGAGGCCACATCTTCAGCCCCGTCTCCCCGCAGCGCGGGGGCAGCGGGGACGCCTGCGAGAGCGCAGCTGCCGGCGGCCGCGGAGGATGCCCGCCCCGCCAGGGCCCGCTCACGAGCCGGAGCAGCTCGGCGCGGTCAAGCTGGAGGAGGAGGATGCTGCGGGCCAGGAGGGCCCCAGGTGCGCGGAGGCCAGGCTGCGGCCCGAGGTGGCCCACCAGCTCTTCAGGTGCTTCCAGTACCAGGAGGACATGGGGCCGCGCGCGTCCCTGGGCCGGCTCCGGGAGCTGTGCGGCCACTGGCTGCGGCCGGCCCTGCACACCAAGAAGCAGATCCTGGAGCTGCTGGTGCTGGAGCAGTTCCTGAGCGTGCTGCCCGCCCACCTCCTGGCCCGGCTGCAGGGCCAGCCGCTCCGGGACGGCGAGGAGGTGGTGCTGCTGCTGGAGGGCGTCCAGAGGGAGACCAGCAACGTGGGGCCCCTGGTGAGCGGGCGCGGAGGGGGCTGGGCAGCCAGGTGGGGAGACTGGCCCTCGGGGCCCGAGAGAGGCCGCACCCACTCGCCCTTCGTCCCTCCGAGGTCCTCCCTCCTCCTGCCTTCCCTGCCCGACTCCCCTCCCCTCGCCCCTCCCTTGGGAGCCGCAGGAGCTGGAGCGCCCTGCTCGGCACCCACAGGGATGCGTGATGTGTTCTGAACAGGACTTTAGCTTCAACACTGGCAAGAACTGTCCCCGTGCCGACGTCCCCTCTGCGGAACAAGGGGGTCCTTCCCAGGTCTCCAGCCACAGCCCCAAAAAAGAAGTGTCTTCAGAAGGGCCCCCAGCCCCGGAGCCCCTGAAAGAGCTCCCGCCAGCCCCGCCAGCGTCCTCCCAGCCTGTCGAGTTGAGGGCCTGGAAAGGTCCCCCAAGTTCAAAGCAGCCTCCGAGCCCAGGTCCCCAGGGGACATTCCAGGCCCCGCCAGAGAGTGGTGAGGAGCCCTCGCAGGAGGGCGCAGGAGCTGGGCCCCAGGATGGCCCGGAGGTCGGGGGGCCGGATGTCTCGGGTGGGCAGGGCCGTGGCTGCCCGTCCTGGGAGTCCTGGGAGTCCTGGGAGCCACGGGTGGGTGAGCCTGGCTCTCACAGCTCCTCCCCTCCCCCCAGCGCTGCCAGCCCCCCAGGGCCTGGGGCTGTGGCTGGACGAGAACGCCCGGGACCAGGAGCTGGCGGCCGTGCTGGTGAGCTGGGCTCCGTCTCCCTGGCACCACCCATGCCGGGAACCTTCTCGCCTCTGCGGTTTTAGCAAAGTTTTGTGCTCCTTAACTTAAGTCTGGAAACTTCTTCACTCCCCCCAGGGCCCAGCGCCTCACTCACTGCGGGTCCCCCCCTTTGTTGCAGGAGTCCCTGACCTTTGAAGATGTCCCGGTGAAGAAGGCCTGGCCCGCCTGTTCTCTGGGTAAGAGGCCTGGGGCGCGCCGGCCGCCAAGGCGGTCTCTGTGTATTGAGAGCCGTCCTGGGGCTCCTGCCCGACTTTCTGTCCTCTTGAGTAAAAAATGGGCTATTTTGATGAGCTTTCACTTTTTTTTTTAAGATTTATTTATTTTTATATAAGAACCGGGGTACCGGCCAGAGGTGCGGGAGAGTGAGAGGATTCACCAGAGACAGAGCGGGGAGCAGAACAGGCAGACTGACTGAAAACACTGCTGAAGGGAGCAGCGGGCGAGGCAGGAGAGTCTGCAGCGCCATGTGGGGATCTTCCTCGTGGGCCGGGAATCAAACCCGCGCTGCAGAGGTTGTGGACAGCTTCACAGCTCTACGCGCTTAACCCGCTGTGCCACCTAGGAGGCCCTGTTTTTGTTTTTTAAGATTTATTTTTTTATGTATACTAGCACTGGGGTACAGGCCAGAGGTGCGGGGGGTGGAAGGGTGAGAGGATTCACCAGAGACAGAGTGGGGAACAGAACAGGCAGATGCACTGAAATACACTGCTGAGGGGAGCAGCGGGCGGCAGGAGAGGTCTGCGCCATGTGGGTTGCTCCCTGGCTGGCCTGGAATTGAACTCGTGCCGCAGTGGCTGCGGATCGCTTCATAGGCTGTGTCTTAACCCTTGCACCACCAAGGAGGCCTGTTTGTTTGGTTTTTAGGCTCACTGTATCTGACCTACCCTCAACCATGGCTTTGACCTCTGAGAGTAGATGGTCAGGTGAATGCTTGTTACTGGGTATGGGGTTCCACCTGGGGAAGTGAGAAAGTTCTGGCAGGAGACGGTGGGGGCGCTTCCCCAGTCCCGAATGTCCCGAGTGGACCTGAACGGCGGGCGGTAAGCGGCTCCGTTGGGGAATGGCAGGCTGCTTAGTTTTTGCTCCCAGCCCGGCTTTAAGGATCCTGGGTTTCTCTCTGCTTCCAGGCAGTGAGGTTTGGATTCCCAGGAACCCCTTGGAACAGGCCTAACCATTCCTGTTTTGTTTTCAGGTTTTGGAAGCAGAACTTCCGACCGGGAGCTTAGCGAGGAAGAGCCCAAAGGGGCCCCCTGGCCGGCCGCCATCCCCGCCGAGTCTCTGGCAGACAGCCCCGGGGCGGCGGAGGAGCCCCCGGCCCAGCCGCTGGAAGGGGGCCCGGAGGTGAGCGGCGCAGGCGGAGGAGGCTCCCCTCCTGCCAGGAGTGATGTTTTGGAAGTGAAGGTGGCTGAGGACGCCCCCAAGTCGGGGCCGGCGATGCGGTTCATCTGCACGGAGTGCGGGGCGACCTTCCCGCAGCTGGCCCGCCTGGAGGCGCACCAGCTGCGCTCGCACCTGGGCTCGCGAAGCTTCCAGTGCCCGAGCTGCGGCAAGACCTTCGGCCGCGCCTCCATCCTCAAGCTGCACATGCGCACGCACACGGACGAGCGGCCGCACACCTGCCACCTCTGCGGCCACCGCTTCCGCCAGAGCTCGCACCTCAACAAGCACCTGCAGACGCACAGCTCCGAGCCCGCCTACCTGTGCGCCGAGTGCGGCCAGGGCTTCCAGCGCCGCTCCAGCCTCGTGCAGCACCTGCTGGCGCACGCCCAGGGCCAGAACCCGCCGGAGCCCCAGGCCCAGGTGCCGGAGCTGACGGTCGTCCTGTGCTCGCACTGCGGCCAGACCTTCCAGCGCCGCTCCAGCCTCAAGCGCCACCTGCGGATCCACGCCAAGGACAAGAACCACCAGTGCTCCGAGTGCTCCGGCAGCCTCCGCCCCAGCCCGGGCCCGGAGCGCCGGCCCCACGTGTGCAGCGACTGTGGCAAGGCCTTCCGGCGCAGCGAGCACCTGGGGGCCCACCGGCGCGTGCACACCGGGGAGCGCCCCTTCACCTGCCAGGTGTGCGGCCGCAGCTTCAGCCAGAGCTCCCAGCTGGTGTGCCACCAGCGCGTGCACACGGGCGAGAAGCCCTACAGCTGCCCGCACTGCGGGAAGCGCTTCGTGCGAAGGGCCGGCCTGGCGCGCCACCTGCTGACCCACGGCGGCCCGCGGCCCCACCACTGCGTGCAGTGCGGCAAGAGCTTCAGCCAGACGCAGGACCTGGCGCGCCACCGGCGCAGCCACACGGGCGAGAAGCCGTGCCGCTGCAGCGAGTGCGGCGAGGGCTTCAGCCAGAGCGCCCACCTGGCGCGCCACCAGCGCATCCACACCGGGGAGAAGCCCCACGCCTGCGACACGTGCGGCCACCGCTTCCGCAACAGCTCCAACCTGGCGCGCCACCGCCGCAGCCACACCGGCGAGCGGCCCTACGGCTGCCAGAGGTGCGGCCGCAGCTTCCGCCGCAACGCCCACCTGCAGCGGCACCTGGCCACCCACGCGGGCGCGGGCGCGGGCGAGGCGGCGGAGGCCGGCCAGGCCGAGGCCCCCCAGGAGTGCCCGGAGTGCGGCAAGAGCTTCAGCCGCAGCTGCAACCTGCTGCGCCACATGCTGGTGCACACCGGGTCGCGGCCCTACTCGTGTGCGCAGTGCGGCCGCAGCTTCAGCCGCAACTCGCACCTGCTGCGCCACCTGCGGACGCACGCCCGGGAGACCCTGTACTAGCCGCCCGGAGACCCTGCGCCAGCCGCCCGGAGACCCTGCGCCAGCCGCCCGGAGACCCTGCGCCAGCCGCCCGGAGACCCGGTGCCAGCTGCCCGGAGACCCGGTGCCAGCTGCCAGTCCTCCAGACCCGCCGCCGGCCAGGCCCTGTCCCCGCCGCCCCACCTCCCCTGCTCCACCAGCGCCGCGGGCCGCCCCCAGAGACGGCTCTTCTGGCCGCTGAAATGTCTAGCAAAATCCCCGCAGTAAAACACCTTTGTGAAAGTGGCCCCTCTGGATGTTTTCATTTCAGGGCACCCACTGCCCAGTCTCCCCGCACTGGCTCCACCTTGCTCCCTCCCCTTGCCCCCAGCACCTTCAAAAGCAAGGTCCAGGGGACAATCCCCCACATGCCCAGCAGGGCCCAGGGTGGGGGGAGCGGCCCCTGTCAGCACCTCTCCGGCCAGTCCAGGTGCTCAGCCGGGAGCTCTGCTGCGGGAAGCCAGCCCGGCAGTGACCCCACCCGCGGCCTGGGCACCGGGTCGGCTGCACGTCCCGGGGAGAACCCATGGGAAGGTCTTGTTTCGGAGCATCGACAGCTACTTCACATTGCCAGGCCAGAGGCCAAGTCCCGTGACACTTGGGGCGCACTAGGCGGCCGTGATCCTCTCAGCCCAAAATTGGTGGGGAATTTGCCCACTTTTCCCAGCCCCGCAGCCGCCTGGCTGCTCCACTTCCCGGGCAGTCCCGACCCCGGGAGAGCCGGGGCAGGCGGCCCGCGCACCCGGCGCCCGCGTCACCGGGCACTGCCCGCAGACCCCAGGTCAGCCGGCCCCGGTGCCGCCGCGGGGGTGAGGAAGGGCGGCTCCTGGCGGGGTGGGGAGCGGGCCGGCGTCCTGGGGGGCAGCGGGTCTCGGCGGGGAGGAAGATGGGAACAGGACAGCACCCAAAAACCAGATGCAGCGTCCCCGGGAAGACGCCGGCAAGGAGTCTGGGCCGGGGTGGACAGGCAGGGCGCCTGGGAGGAGCCGGCGCGGGGACGAGTGTGCGCCCCAGAACCCCGGGCCCGCTGCGGAGAAGGGCGCCAGACTGGGAGGGGGAGGCAGGTCAGCGTGTACACAGGTCCTAAGGGGGCAGCGCTGGGCAGGCTGCTGGGGAGATTTCCAGGAGTGGGTGCTGCAGGGTCCGATGACCTGGGGCAGCTGGTCCACAGGCCCTTAGGGCAGCACTGCCTGTGAGCTGACACCACTCAGGCCTCGCCTGCTGTGTGGACCTGCCTGCAAAGAGGCAGGAGCAGGGACAGCAGCCAGGAGGGGACAGGGCCGGGTGGTATGGTGCCCTCAAAGGCAGGTGGGGCACAACGGGCCCTACCCCCGGGGCCAGGGATTTCTAGAAGGAAAAGGCACGTGGAACATTGACAGGGGGCCTGAGAAATCTGGGAGAAGGTTGAAGAAGGTGGGTGCCCTGTCAGAGGGACCTGGAAGTGCAGGAGGGGCTGGGGGTCAGGGGGGCTCTGCAGGAAGGGAGGCGGGTGAGGCCTCCCTGGGGTCGCAGGGGTTACGTCTCAGCACTATGAAGCTGTCACCACTGCGGCCTGAGTTCCATCCTGGCCAGGGAGTGACCCACAGGGCGCAGCAGACCCCTCCTGTCTCCCCGCCGCTCCCCTCAGCAATGGATTTCAGTGGATCCACCTGTTCTGCTCCCCACTCCGTCCCTGATGAGTCCTCTCTCCCCCTGCACCTCTGGCCTGTACCCCAGCTCTTGTATGCATAAATAAATAAAATAAATCTTTAAAAAAGAAAAGGAGGCAGGGGCCTGGGCTGGGGGGAAGCTTCTTAAGGAAAGAGACTCTCCCCGGGGGCCTCCCCTGGGGGCCAGGCTGAGAAGGCAGGGGCCAGGTGACCAGGCCGCAGAGGCCGTGGAGGTCATGTCCAGCCACTGTCTCTCCTGCTGGGCCTACAGCTGCCCCCAGGGGTCATCCTTCTTGAAATGGAGAGTCCACTCCTGGGACCCACATGGTGAGGAGGGGGACACTGGGTGGAAGGGGGCCCGGCACTGCCCCTGGTCCTGAGGCCTCCTGGCTCCCCCCTCTGCCCACATCCCCTGGCACAGACCCCTGCCCCAAGCCAGAGGGGGTGCAGGTCACAGACCAAGCAGCCTTCCCGTGGCTGGTGTGACTCCTCCCCACTGGGCCAGCTGTCCTGGGTTCCTGCCTGCCTGGCCTCAGGAGGGCCTGGAACCTTCCACAGCTCCACCCCCACCTTCCTCTCATCAGCTCTGATTCCTGACAGACACTCTCATGTGCAGTGGCCTGTGAGCAGCAGCCAAGGCAGGAAGTCAGCAGGGAGGGCAACTGGGGCAGGGACACTGGGTCTCAGACAGGAGTCAGGAGCTTGCCCTGACCTTGCCCAGTTCTCGCAATCTCTGCACCTGCAGGCCCCAAGGCCAAGGCCAGGGCTGCCCCTCCTGCCTTCCCTGCTCTGCCTCCCTTCCAGGTCGGGGCTCTCCCAGAGGCTTGGGCCTCTGGTCTCGGGGGAAAAACCAAGGAGCATCTGGCCAAGCCCAGCCGGCAGGATGAAGGCCCCAGTGGGGGTCAGGAAGGAGTTGGGTCAGAACAACAGACCAGGGGCCTCCCTGGTGACGCAGGCGGTTGAGCGCTGCATTGTGGCTGTCCGCAGCCTCTGCAGTGTGGGTTCCATCCTGGCCGGCCGGCCAGAATCCCACATGGCGCGCAGACCTCTCCTGTCTCCCCGCTGTCCCCTCAGCAGTGGATTTTGTCAGTCTGCCTGTTCTGTTCCCTGCTCTGGCTCTGGTGAATCCTCTCACCCCCACATCTCTGGCCTGTACCCCGGCTCTTATATAACAAAATAAATAAATCTTAAAAAAAAACAACAAAAACAGACCAGCTCCCTGCTGCCCTGGGGAGGCATCATTGGGCCACATGCCCAGCTCTGTGGAGGCCCAGCTGCGCCTGTCTGGGCACTGTCTGTCCTCCCCACAGGCCCCTGACCCGCAGTGTGCAGCGTCCCGTCACACGGGAGTCACAGGTGTCCTTACTCAGCTTGCAGGCCCTGGCCTGGGTTCCGTCCCTTACTCAGCCCGGCCTGTAACTGGGCCCCCGCCCGGCCCTCACACTGCACATTGGCCGTCACAGCGGTTATTACTCAGCGGGGGCGGGGGGGGGCAGGTCAGGCCTGGAGACGGAGCCGGGAGGGGAGGCTTGCAGGCAGGGGGCAGGTGGAGACAGACCGGAGCTGGGGGTAAAGGTCACAAGCAGGGCCAGTGGGCGCTGGGGGTGCTTCGGAAGATTCTCTGAGAAGCAGGAATGCAGGGGCTTCCGGCGCTCCCAGGCGGGCGTGGGTCACACGGACCCTTAGGACGCAGGAGCCGGTGACCCGCGGCCTCCACCGCCCAGCTGAGGCAGAGTTACAGCAACTTCCCACAGAAATCAGGTGGCACTTGGGCCTCCCTGGTGGCACAGGGGTTAAGTCTCAGCGCTATCAAGCTGTCGGCAGCCTCTGCTGGGAGCTACCCCCAGGGCACAGCAGACCCCTCCCGTCTCCCGCTGCTCCCCTCAGCAGTGGGTTTCAGTGGATCTGCCCGTTCTGCTCCCCGCTCTGTCTGGTGAATCCTCTCACCTCCCGCACCTTCCATCGACACCCCAGTTCTTGTAGGCATAAATAATCTTAAAAAGAAAAAAGAGAGAGAAGAAATCAGGCGGCGCTCGGAGGAGGAGGAGAGAGAGATTTATTTCTCACGCCGGGGCCCAGTGGGACGGCCCCCGAGAGTCGGAGCCCTGGAGAGCAGAAATGCAGGGCTCCACAGCGAGCTCGTGCAGAAGCGGGCACCCGGCCATCAGCTTTCTTCCTGCTTGGGAAGGCGTCAAGGGAGCCGCGGCTGGACTGCGGGCGAGCGGCGCGCCGCGGGAGCCGGGCGCCCAGCCAGCGGCAGGGTCCGAGCAGCGGACTCAGCAACTTCCCACTTCACTTGTGGCCCGTCAGCTTCTCCTTAACCCAGTCCAGCCCTTCCAGCACCAGCCTCTCTCCCAGCTTGTTTACCAACTGCCACACCTGCTCCTGGATGTCTCCCCCAGGCTGGGGCTGGGCCCGGGCCTGGGGCTCGGGTTGGGGTTGCGTCTTAGGCTGGGGCTGGGGCTCTGGCCGCACCTGGATCTCTACTTTCTCAGTCACCACCATGGGGCCACTGCCATTCCTGATTGGGCACCCAACTTCTGGGTGCACATAATGGTGCAGGGGAGTGGATTCCTGCAGGATGAGGGCGCTCGGGGTCACGGGGGGCTTTGCTCCGCAAGTCCGAGCCTTCCTGAGGCCTCCCTGCCTTGGGAGACCCACTGATGGAAAGGCCTGCTGTTCTGCCCGCACCCCAGGCCCCAGAAGTCCCAGAGGCTCCATCCGTGTCAGCACCTGACACCTGCTGGGGGCTGAGCCTGGAGCCCTTGCCAGACCTGGGCTGGGGTGACTGGGGGAGGGTGGCTGGAGGAGGAGCAAGTGGCTGTCAGCCCTGAGGCTTCGGGGCTGCACTGCACACGGGCTGCTGGGCACACACAGGCAGTGCCAATGTCTGGAGGGGGCGAGGGGCGGGCAGAGCCGGGACTCAGCAGGCTCTCCTCCCAGTCCAGCATGATGCCGCCGACGTCACCCTGCAGGTGGGAGGCAGTGAGACACGCTCGGCCGCTGGGCAGCTGTCCCCACAGTGCCCCAGGGGCCAGGGGCCAGGGCCCCGGGCTGCCCCAGCCAAGCCCACAGACCCAGCCTCAGGGGAGGGGAAGGCCATACTCACCTGGAGGCCTCCAAGCATTGACATGACCTGTGGATTGGTTGGTCTCAATGCCCGGTCTCCTCTCTTGGCCTTACCCCGCACCCTCAGAAGGAGCTCAGCGCCTCCCCACCCCGCTTCCAGCCCAGGCATCCAGGACAGGCCTGTGGGGGCCCTAATCCTCCCCATTCTGCCCCCAGCCCCCTGTGACCACGCTGCCACCTGAGGGCTCGGTGGGACTCAGGGTCCAGCCCAGGTGGGGGGTGTAGGAAGGGCCCCTCAGCCCCTCACATTCCGCTGACGCCCTCCCCGCCCACCTGAGGGTGTTTTCACAGCGTCTCAGGAACCGTCGACCCACTGGGGCTGTGCAGAGAGGCGGAGTCGGGCCACAGACTGACCTCCCCTCCCGGGCCCCTGGTGCTGGAAGGTTCTGGGCATCAGGCAGCGGGGCCCGACCCGTGCGTACCAGGTGTTTCCAAGGGACGTCGATGTGGGCCTGCTGTGGGGACAGCGACACTCAGGCCTGTGACCCGTCCCACTGGGCTGCACACAGCCACACCCTCTCATCCACACGCACTCACACGCACACGCACACGCAGCCAGCTCACACTCAGGCTGAGTCGCACGCCCGCAGGGCCGGCCCCAGGAGAGGGGCCAAGCAGCAACCCTGCCTGTCAGGCCCACACTGCGGGGCTCAGGCCTTGGCGAATCGGGGCTGCTGAGCACACGGCCCTGGCCCGGGCCTGGCCCGCTGCCCATGTCCTGTGGGGCAGCCTTCCTCGGCCTGCAGCGCCCCCCACCAGGGCCCGGGGAAGGGGAGAAACAGCCCAGGGCACGTGTGCACGGCGGTCCCGGCGAGGGGGACACACCGGGATGGGGGGCCGGGACCCTCGCCTCCCGCTCACTCACCGTGAAGCAGCCCAGGCTGTCAGGACCCAGCTGCGCCTGGGAGAGACGGGTGCGGGGACAGGTGTGAGGAGCGGCTTCCCAGGGACTCTGCACCCAGCCAGCCGCTGCCGGCCCTGCAGCTGGTCTAAGGAGGGCCAGGCCAGGTGGGTGGAGCTGGCGGGGGCAGGCTCGGCCCGCAGCGCAGGCGTGTGATGGACTCCAGCGGGGGAGGGTGGCCCTTGGGGCCCAGGTGACAAGACAAGTCTAGAGGCGTGGGAAGGCGGCAAGTCACTCGCACAGGGCCCGCGCCCCGGTCCCTCCCTGAACTGGGTGGGTATCTGTGAGCACAGGAAGGGGCCTCTGAGCCCCGCCTGCTCCCCACTTTCTGTGCCCCGGGAAGGCAGAGCAAGTCCATGTTTGGAAGCAGGCAGCGGGGTTTGGGCTCCTGCTTGGAGTGAATCATCCAGTGACGGTCAAGTCACCGGAGTTGAGCCGGGCCCAGGCAGCAGGGCACAGGAGCCTCCGTGCAGGGAATCCCGTGCCCCCCTGACCGGGACGCAGCAGGACATGCAAAGCTCCAAGTAGCACCAGGCCATGGTGTGAGGGTCAGCACAGGGCCCTGAGGGGAGGCTGGGCCACGCCCTGCTGCCTGGGTCACCGAGGCACCCAGACACTGAAGGCAGGCGTGAGGACTGAGGCTTCCTGGGGGCTGAGTGGGCCTGAAGGGGCTTGTGGGGTCTCCCGGACCCTGGTGGGCACATGGGGTGGGAGTCACAGGGCCTGCCTCCCCCAGCTCCTCTGTGTACCCCATCCAGGCAAAGCCCCTCAACGTTTGGGCTGGGTTGGGGCCCCAGGGCCACCACAAGGCACATGCAGCTTGGCAGCAAATGAGACACAATGTTGGACAGAAGAGAAGTTTCTGGAACACACAGATCAATGGGAAGAGATCAGTGGGCACCAGCCAGGGTGCTGGGGTGTCAGCTGCTGCGCTCAGGAAGAGCAGCTCTTGGGGAGGGAGAGTCCTGCAGGGCGGCCAGAGGGGCTGAGTTCTTGGCCCAGGCTGAGGCTCCTCTGCTCCCACCATGGCTGAGCCCTGGCTCCCTCTCCTGGGCAGCCATGCTGTTCCTGCTGAGGCCCCCTGGGCCTGTCCCCCAGCTAGTGTCAGTGCTGCTGCAGCTAAGCAGGAATAGGTAAACCTGGGATGGCTGCCTGCAGGCGGTGGGCCCGGGCTCAGCTTTCAAAAAGCAGCTGGATTCTCAAGTAGGTTTCTGCGCTGGATTCTGAGCCAACGTGGCTCCTGCGGCGGGAGGCGCGACTCTGAAGTCAAGCGCTGGCGGCTGGGTCCTCTCGAGGGCTGGAGGGTCTCACGGGGGCTTGTGGATCTCGTCCTCACATCCGCGTGGCTTCCCTCCTGCGAGCGCATCTGTCTGCGGCTTCCCACTGGGATGGACACCAGGCATTGGGCGAGGGCCTCCTGGTCCGTGCCATCCCACCGCTCCCCGCGACCGTGTCCCCAGGCGAGGGCGCGGTCCCAGCACTCAGAGCTGCGAGTCAGCACCAGGAGTCGGGGGACGAGGTGGCACATTTTAACCTCTACCACTTCGTTGTTTTTAAGATTTATTTTTATTTATTTATGCATACAAGAGCTGGGCACAGGCCAGAGGTGGGGGGTGAGAGGATTCACCAGAGACAGAGTGGGGAGCAGAACAGGCAGATCAACTGAGATCCACTGCTGAGGGGAGCAGCGGGGAGACAGGAGAGGTCTGCTGCGCCCTGTGGGCAGCTCCCTGCCCACACGGGGATGGAACTCTTGCTGCAGAGGCTGCCGATAGCTTCATAGTGCTGCAACTTAGCTCCTTGTGCCACCAGGGAGGCCCCAACCGCTACCACTTTGAAGAGGATCCAGGCTCCTGATTGGCCACCATGAGCTTCCCAGAGGGACAGACACACACTCATCCGGGTGTAGGGCCCCAGCCACCTGCCCTGTTGGCGACCTCTGAGGTGTGAGGGGCTGAGATGGGAGAATGTCAAGGTCGTGACTGGAAGCCTGGTCACACGGGCTGGGAGACTGGCCTGTGTCCAGACCACGGTGTCCTTTCTCGTGTCAGCAACGCTCAGCCTGAGGAGCAGGCAAGCTTGGCCGTGAACGGCGCCTGGACCAGGCTAAATACTAAGAGAGTGATTCGTTGTCTTAGTAACGGGGGGGGGGGGGGGGAATGGTTGTATCATAGCAAAGCGTTGCCCCCCGCACTCAGACGCTGGCGCTTGCGCTGAGGGGCCTTGCATCCCTGGGTCCTGCTTCTCTTAAACTCTATTTTGTGTCTGTCATTTCTTTGTTTCTCAGTTCTTTCTTCCCCCTCACCTGCTCACCGGAGCCGGTCTCCAGCACTGGGCCTGGGGGCCCACTCAATGCTGAACCCCCTCTTCTGCCAGAAGCCTAAATCCCTCCTGAGCCTCTCCGAATCCAGGCCTGGGGAGAGGAGGAGCCGCTCCCGCCTGCAGCAACAGTCACCTTTCCGGCCATCCCCAGAGCCTGCGTCACTGACCCAGGGGACAGCCGCCTCCCCGACGGCCACAGGCTGCGCTCTGAAGGCCTCTGCGCCCCTGCTGGGCGGTTCAGACTTGACTCAGCGGTCACACATCCCAATGGGCAAGCGGAAGCGTCCGTGAGCAGGGCACCTCGGAACTCAGCCCTTCAAAAGGAAGCTCTGTACCCCTGAGCCAGCCCCCCCCACTTCCTGGGCTTAGATGGTCCTGTGTGGGGCTTTTCATACCAAGGGTGTCACTGATGTGTGGCCTGCCGGGCCTCTTTCGTGCAGTACAGAGTGTTCCAGGCTCGTGCTGGGGGTGTCTGGGCCAGTCCTCATCCTTTTACATTATATCCCACCTCGAATCATCCACATTTCCTGTCTCTGTTCATCTTAGGATGGACACCGGTTTGTTTCCACCCGGGTTATAATGAAGGAACATTAATGTGCAGCTCTTGTGTCTATGCCTAAGCTCAGGATTACTGGGTTAAGTGGTAATTATGGGTTCGCCTTCTTCCAGATTCTGTTTTCCAGCGTGCCTGGGGGCACATGCTTGACCCTCCCAGCAGCCCTGTAAGAAAGGGCCAGTTTCTCTGCATCCTCATCCACACTGAGAAGGTGACTCTCCCTGCTCCAGCAGACAAGAGAGCAAAGCACCGCACAGACCCCGCCCCAGAGCGGGATGGAGCCGGAGACCTGCCCAGCCTCCGCAGCGCACGCCCTAGAGAGGAGGAGGTTAAGCCTGAGCTTCCTCTGGCTGACACTGCACAGACCTCGCGGTTGTACAGTTTCCGTAGGGTAAAATGTAGCTCTCACCTAATACACTCTTTGTCCTGGGGACTTTCCTGCCACTGAGTAAATATTCCCGGGCCATCGGGGTGGGCGTGAGCTGGGCTCCTGGCAGTTCTGTGGTTCCTGTTTGCACTGTTCATCCGGGTCCCTCTCTTGGAGAAATGTGCTGTGACCTCATGAGCACTTTTAAACTGGGTCACTTATCTGTTCATCGTTCAGTGGCAAGCAATCTGGGCACAGCTGGCTATGGGTCCCTGACAGCTGCAAACAGCCCCTCGGGTGGGGTGTCTTTTCCACTTTTGTGATCAAGTCCATTGAAGCAAGAAAGACATAGACTTTGAACATGAAACTATCATTTTTTAAAAGCAATGCATCTCCCTGGTACCTCCTTTGTGTGCTTCACTCAATAGAGTCTTCATGGCTGGGAACATACAACGCTGAACAAGAACATAAGCACAAAAGCACCTCGTATTTCTCATGTAACATCTCTGGGCGCCCCCAGCCACCTCTGGTTCTTCTCTTTGCTCCCCTCCATTCACCCCTCCTCCTGCCCTGACTTATGCACAACACAGTGGTCAGGTCCCTCCGGTCCCTGCCACTAGCAGGCGTGCTGCAGGCCCCGGGCTGGAGGACGCAGGGCTTTGTCGGACGGCTCGCGGGCGCGGCTGCGAAGCTTTAACATACAAGTCGCAGCTCCTCATGCCGGGAAAGGATCCAACAGCCGGGGGTGACAACCCTGGCGCTCCGGGGGCTGCACCTCTCAGGTCACAAACTGGACATGCTTGGCTGTCCCTTCTGCCTGCCACCCAGGTGTCAAGGTCCCCGATCGCGGCTCTGGCAGCACCCTGGGGCCCTGCGGCTGGACGGCACCCCGGGAGATGGCTGCTAAGTGGTTATCACTCATCTTTGCAGAGACCATGGAGAGGTAGGTCGCCAGGGGAGACAGAAGAGACAGGAGCCACTGGCTTGGCCCGGTGCCCATCAGGCGCCCCCAGAGTGTGTCCAGTGCAGACTCCTGACTGCACCCCCAGAATGAGAATGCAGGCTGCGGGGGTGGGTCCTGCATGTCTAAGTTCCCTGTGAGATTCTGATGTGGACTATTCCAGATGTGTAATTCCTGAGGCACTGATTTAGATCCTGAGTTCTGTGGGGGGTAAGTGAGGGGCCCAGGGCGCACCCACTCTTCACCCAGCAGTGCTGAGGGGCGGCAGGCTGGGACTGAGAGGGACTGAGCCACTGTCTCCCCCCAGCCTGGTGCTCATGGGCACGGGGGATGGACCTCTTTGAGGGAAGCCCAGAAACTCCAGTGTGGGGGCCCCCAAGAGGAACTTGGGGATGGGAAGGCGTCCTGTTGAGTGGAGGCGGGTCCCCTGGCAAGAGGCAGAAGGCAGGTCCATAGGCCGCATCCGGGAGAGCCGTTTGAGGGGCTTCTGATGTCCGCCAGGGTGAGGGGGGGACGGGGGCTGTTTGGGGTTGGGTCCAGGTCCCCACCCATGTGGTAGTGGGGGGGGGGGCTTTTGGAAGCTGTGTAGGATGAGAAACTTCTAGAAACCTCAGAGCAGCCAAGGTGAGGGACTTCGGTTCCCATTGCAGCCTGTGCCCAGCTGACCCAGAGCAGCTGCCGGAGGGAGGAGGGGCTGCAGGGAGCCGGGCTGCTTTCTGGAAACACTGGCTTTTCCGGGAATGGAGCTGTCGGGGCCAGGCTGAGCCGGACTTCCCAGAAGCCAGGCCCCCAAGGCTCGCGGCACCCTGTGTCCGGGCGCTACCCTGGGCTCCGGGCACCTGCGCCTCGGGCCCGGCCCCTCCCTCAGAGGGAGGCGACACCCCCTAACAGCAAGGGCAGAAGGGGCAGCAGGAGGGGTCCCGAGGGCCCCCCAGCGGCCTGGTTGATGTCGCACCGACAATCGCAGGATCCGGGCTTGCGGGTCGCTTTGGGGGGACTCAGGGTTCGGGGGTCTCCAGGGCGCGCGCTGGGGGCGGGGCAGTCTAGCCACGTGGGGCCTATGGGCTGCGGAGAGTCGGGCTCGGCCTGGACGCTGCCCTTGGGAAAGCGCCAGTAATGGGCGCCCTTGAAGAAGTAGGTGTCGCCTGCGGGAGGGGCGCGTTCAGGGCGGCCGGGCGGGCCCCGGCCCCCCTCCTCCCGCCCCCGCCCCCGCCCCGGCCCCCCGCCCCGCTCCCCCCACCACCACGCCCCGGCTCCGCGCCCCGCCCCGGCCGGGCCGCGGCTCCCAGGGGCGCAGGCCCCGCGCGCCCACCTGTGTTGCCGACCGTGACGTCGTCGGGCGCGGCGGGCGCCCCCTCCCAGAGGCCGAGGTCGCGGGGGTAGCCGGGGTCGGGGCGCGCGGCCGCCTCGTCGTAGCGCCAGTACCTGGCGCCGCGGATCAGGTAGGTCTTGCCGTTCAGCGGCCACGAGAACACGGCGTCCACCGCCTCGCCCGCGGGCAGCCCCAGCTCGGACACCGGCCGCGCGGGGCCCTCCAGCTGCCGGTCCCGGAACACCCAGAAGTGGGGGCCTGCGGGGGGCGCCGGTGAGCCCGCGCCCCGCCCCGCGCCCCGCGGCTCACCGCGCCCCCACCCCCGCGCCCCCCGCGCCCCCCACCCCCGCGCCCCCCGCCCCGCTCACCGCTGAAGAGGAGGATGCGGCCGTCGGGGCGCCGCGCGTAGGCCGCCTGCACCTCCCGCACGCCCGCGGGCAGGCCCTCCCAGAAGCGGTGCAGCCGCGCCGGCCGCGGGGACACCAGCTGCCCCGAGGGCTGCAGGCGCCAGAACCAGGGGCCTGCGAGGAGGGCGGGCGAGGGGTCGAACGGCAGCGTCTCCCCGCGGGCGTGGCCGGGCAGGGCGGGCCCTGGGGGCGGGCGGCGGGGTGCAGGGCCGCCAGGGGTGGCCCAGGACCTCCTCCCCGCGCCCCCTTTAAACCACCCCAAGTCCTTCGCCCTAGGAAGCCCCGCAGGCCCCGGGGTCACCAGGTGGGCAGGACGCCCTGCGGGCCGGGGGGCGCGGGGGGGACACTCGCCTTTGAAGAAGAAGGTCTCCCCGCGGATGTTGGCGATGGCGTCGAAGCTGCCCTCGCAGCGGTCAGGCACGGGCCCCGAGGGCCTGCGGGGAGGGCAGGTGAGGGGGCGCCCGGCCACCCCCCCACCCCCCCGCGGGGCGCGCAGTTGGTCTCGGGAGGGCCGGGTCGGGTCGGGGCGCGCACCTGTCCGGGGGCGGGGCCGGGGCCGGCGGCCGCGGTGGGCTCAGGGGGCTCCGGGTGGGGCGGCCGCCTGGCCAACGCGGCTCTTTCCCTGTGGGGAGAGAGTCGGCGAGCTGGGGCTCCCTGCCCCTGCGGGAGGGCCCCCCGAGGCGACCCCCAGGCCCGCCCCCCACTCCCGGTACCGTAGAGCTGCTGCAGGCCGTCGCGGTCGTCCTGGGACAGACGGTACCGGCCGGGGTCGCCCACCGGGCCCTGGTAGAAGGGCCGCATGATGGAGTCGGCGGTGGAGGAGTGGCCCAGGCCCAGGGCGTGGCCGAACTCGTGCACAGCCACGGCGAACAGGTCGATGCCCTCGCCATCTGGGGGGACAGCGGGCTGCAGAGGCCCCCACGCCAGCCAAGGGCAGGCGGCACCGGGAACAGCCAACAGCCCCCCAGGCGGCCACAGCCTCGAGCCCAGACCCTCCCTGCCGGATCGTCCTGGCCAAGGTCTCTTATTCGCTGAAAATTTTCAGTAGCCTTGTTTGGGGTACAGGACTGGAGGGACCCCCAGAAGCCCTGAGGGAAAGGGCAGGAGGGGACAGCGGGCAGGGGAGGGCCGCACCCCGGGGTGCATGTCTCCTCAGGAAGCCCAGGGCAGCCCCCTCCCCTCCCCACGCCCAGGAATGGGGGGCGATCTCCTAGGCCCCAATTCCCAAGTCCCCAGGGTCCCTCACGGTGCACAGGCCCTCGGACCTCTCCCCAGCTGCGGCCTCCCCTCCCCCGGCCCTCCCCAGGGCTCCAGCCTCCCCCTCCCCCCACCGCAGCCGCCATCATCTCCTCAGCAGGGCGGGCGCTGCCAGACGATCTGGCCCACAGCCTGCTGGCCTCAGCGCCCAGCCCACCCCGGCCCCTCCCACACAGAGCTGTCCTCCTTGGGGACCCAGCCCCGGTGCCAGGAAGGAGGCTCCGCGCGCCTCCAGCAGCTGGCCACGCCCCAGCTCGCATTGATCCAGGTCCAGCGGCGGGTCCAGCAGCGAGAGGCCGAGGCCGGGAGGCACAGAGAGGCGAGAGGCCCCCAGAGCGGCCTCCAGCGCGGCATGGACGGGGCCTCCGCTGGGAATGGCCCTGCGCATCCACAGCCCGTCTGTCTCCGTCCCTGCAGCCCCGGGGCCTAGGGGCAGTGCCCATGCGAGGCTCACACAGTCACACGCTCCAACGCCTCGTCTTGGAGATGAGGAAACTGAGGCACAGGAGGGCCCGTGAAATGGTAGCGCAGGGCATGAGCCACGAGCTCCGCGTCCTGCGTGACCTCAGGAGGCCCTCGGCAGCCTCGGGCGTCTGCCGGACCCCACGTCAGCTGAGCTTTCTTGTCCCTTTTCTTTTAGAGGCTTTAAGTTTTTATTTTTGCCTAGAAGAGCTGGGGTGCAGGCCAGAGGTGTGGGGGTGAGAGTGGGGAGCAGAACAGGCGGATCTACTGAAATCCACTGCCGAGGGGAGCAGCGGGGAGACAGGAGGGGCCTGCTGCGCCCTGGGGGTCAGCTCCTGGCCGGGATCACCCTGAGACGCAACCCCTTGGCCACCACAAGGCCCTCAACTGAGCTTTCTTAGGACCCAGTCCCTTTCCTGAGGCGCAAGTTTGAGTCTTAACCAGGTAGATCTCCTACGTTTCACCCCTCCCATCCCCAACCTCCCCCCAACCTCCCCCCCACGGCCCCCCCTCCCCCCCCCCCCCCCCGCACTCCGCGGGAGAGTTGCACAACTGTGCGCGCTGTGGTCCGCCCTGTCCTCTGCCTCGACCCCGCGGCCAGCTCGCCCACCCCGCTCCCAGCACCCACCTGTCACACAACAAACGTCTTTCCTGTTTCGTCAGGACAGAAGGTCTTGAGTAACCTGGGGCTTCCTGGGTGCCAGAGCTTCAGCTTCCCCTGCCGCCCGGCCCCCTGCCCACCGGCCCTGCCCCACCCCCTCCACCGGGACAGATGCTGCCCCCCACGCCACGCCACCCCCCAGCACCCGCTCGCAGTGCCGCCCTCGGCCCGCTGGCCCAGCTCCCCCCGCCGGCCGTGGACCCGCACAGCTGCCCGTCCGCACACCCGGATCCCTACCCGCCCCCCGCCCCTCCTTCCACGGACTCGTTCCGTGTCCCGCGTGCAGCGGCCCCTCCCGGGCAGCCCTGCCCCTCCCGCCCCCAGCAGGGTCCCACGCCAACCTGCGCCTCCTGCTTCCTCTCCTGCTCGCGGTGGCCGGATTCCCCCCGCCCCGCCCCGGCGCGCAGGCCAGAAGGTCACTCCACCCCAGAGGGCCAAGCCCGGGCCCAGGCCGCTCCCTGCCCGGGTGGCCTGACCACTTCCTCCTTCAGTCTTGCTCGCGGCCCCCTTCCGGCCTGTTCGTTCCTGGTTATCTGGAGTGGGGCTCCCCTGCCGCCTGCCCCACCCACGGGGCTCGGCACCGCCTGCGCCGCACACCCGACGTGCCCCCCCGCCGGCCCAGCTCCCGCAGCGGCCGCACCGGCGGGGGTGCCCGCTGGCCAGGGCGGTGCTGGGGGGGTGTTGACCTCTCGCTGAGCCCGGAGCCCACACCACCTGCCCGGCCTGCCGCAGGCGCCTCACGTAGGGACGCGGAGTAAGAGCAAGTCACTGACCCCTGTCTCGGCCCGGTCCGCTTGGACCCCGGCGTCAGGCAGCCCTGCTGGGGGCCCGCCCTGGGGGCTGGGCCCTCAGCAGAGCCCCGAAGCCAGCCCCGCGGCCCTCCCCGGCAGCCGCAGCCACTGGCCAGGGGTAGGACTCAGCGGGCCCGGCCTGCGGTGCTGACGGCGCAGAGGCCCCCGCGGCCGGCCAGGCTCCTCTCCGGCTGAGGCCGCGCCCTCGCCCCGCTGCCGGCCCCGGCCCTCCCGCGTCCCCTGCGCCTGGGAGAGGGACAGAGGAGCCGCTCGCACAAGAATTTCCACCTTGGGCCCCGCTTCCAGGGCACCCGGCCTGAGACAGAGGCGCTCGCATTCCAGAGCCGGCACGGCCCCCCGCCACGGGCACCAAAGGCCCCAGGTCCTGCCTCGCCCGTCCCTGCACGCGCACCCCCCCCCCGTGTTAAGGGGACACAACTCCAGGACCCCCCACCCCCAGCCAGAAACCTGGCTGTCACCCCTCCTGCTCCTCTGCCCCTAGGATCTGGTCGGACTCCGGTCTCTGCCCCTCCTGGCTGCCCTCTGACCCCCCAGCATCTCCTGCTGGGACCCTGCCCTACAGGGTGTAGGGGTGCCCTACAGGCAATGGCATTTCTAGACCGCGCCCTCCATAGCTCCCCACCGCCTTGAGAACCCAATTGCCCCACCTCCTCACGGGACCCCCAGGCCCTCCTCGGACCCATAGTCCAGTCTCCCCCGCCCGAAGTGCCCAGGCTCCCCCCCCCCTGCCCTGCTCTGCTCTGGGCCAGCCCCGGGGACCGCCCGTCCTCGGGGCGCGGGAGGGCAGACGGTGGCACTCGGCACTTAGATCTCCATACATGGAGGGAACTGTCACCACTTCCAAGAAGCCCGCCCTCAAGCAAGGGCTGGGGCTGGGCTTTCCTCAGAGCGCCCGCAGGCTGGCGACTTCCTCTGTGCTTCCTCGAAGCTGTGTCACGGCGCAGGACACCTGCTCACCCTGTCAGCCCGGCGCGCGCTCACACGGACAAGCTGCCGTGAGGGCTGATAGTCTGGGCCGGCCGGGCCAGGCCGCGGTGCCCGTGTGCTCCCGCAGGCGGGACTGACACCCACGGCCCGTGGGCGGGAAGGAGCGCGCAGGGCCTTCCACGCCGGGGTGGGCCCGACTCACCAGGTCAAGGCTGGACCTGCAAAACCGGAGGCTTCCGGGAGAAGCGATTCTGCTTCCAGAGGCAGCACAGAGACCTGGCGGGGGCTCCAGCCGCCGGCGCCTCCAGGGACCGGATGGCAGCGCCGGCCTCCCCTGAACCCTGGCTTGCTGGCCTGCCCACAAACTTCAACCTTGCTAGCCCCGCGGCCCTGCGCGCCGGCTCCTGAAGACAAGTCACCCCCCGCGCGCGCGCCCTTGGCTGTCTCCTGGAGCGCCTGCCTCACGCAGCTACAGGGCCCAGCCCCGGCCTGGCTCAAGCCCCAGGCTGCAGAGAGGCGCTCCAGAAGTGGGGGTACCTTTCAGCCCAAAAGTCCAAGTCTCCTCATCATCGAAATGAGTGTCCCCGGAGATGGGGTGCTCCCCGGGGAAGAAGGCGTGGGCGAGGGTGCCCCCCGGCCCGTCGAAGGGGTAGCTGTCCTGGTGGTAGGATCGGGCAAAGTGGATGAGGATGTCGGCCTCCGGCGCGCCCCGAGAATCCACCTCCTGGAACTGGAGCGTCGACTCCACGGCCCAGGCGGCCAAGGCGTGGTGCATGAGGGTCCGCACGATCTCCGGGGCCAGCGCCGAGCTCCGGGGGAAGGAGTCTATCCTGGGGGGAGAGGGGCGGCCGTGGGCATGGAGCCCAGCAGGCAGGCCGGGGTGGGGTGCGCGGGGGACCCACCTCCACGTCAGGGTGCGCTTCTTCCACACGCTGCCGCTCAGGGCGTACCGGCGGCGCCGCCTGACCAGCCCGGCCACCCCCAGCACGTCGGGCAGGGAGCAGCGGGGCTTGTGCATGGTGGCCACGGTCGCTGCGTCTGGGGAGAAGTGGGTGGCGCTGGAGTCGCAGTAGGATGTCCCATTCCATGGGACCAGCTAGCTTTCTAGGGGGCAACAGGCTCAGAAACTAGCCAAGAGGACCCCCAGTTCGTGTTTGATTCTGGAAGGTGGGTTCTGGGCACCGCTCACCCCAAGCCTAGAGACTCCCCTCTGGCACAGTGTCCCCCTGCGCCTGCCCGGAGGGCCTGGCTACCTCCAGATGGGCCTCAGGCTGCCCCTGGGGTTCCTGCTTTCTGAGCCCAGGGGCTTGGAGAGGGGAGTCCCAGGGGGGAGGGAGGCAGTGAGAGTAGCGCTCCCCCCTTTGAAGCAGAACCCCCTGGGATGTTGCCCCTCAGCTCCCAAGTCCAAACACATCCAGACAAAGCCCTAAATGCCCTGGCCAGCTGGCTGGCCTGTGCCCACCCCCCAAAGACCTGCAGGGATCCTCTCCCAGCTTGACCCCATTCCCGACAGCCTCTGACCCCCTCACTGGGCTACCGGCAGAGGCCGGACACGGCCAGGCGGAGGACAGCGCAGCCAGGTCTGCCTGCCCTGGTCACCAGTGGGGAGCCCCCCATTTCTCTTTTCTCCCTCTTTAGCCCAACAGATGAGCGTCTCGCTCCCCCGAGACGTATACCCTGGATCCAGCCACTGCTCCGCGCCCGCCCCTGTCCAGGCCACCATCATCTCTTGCCTGGACGCTGGCTGCCCCCCTCCCGGGCTCCGTGCTCCCCGCCCACCGAGCGCCCTCAGCAACGGGAGGAAGCTTAAAACTGCAAATCACATCGAGCTTCCTTCCTCCCCCAAACCACTTCCCACGGCCCCTTAGCATGTGCGGGATGCGCCCAGGCACCCTGCAGAGCCGGCCAGGCCCCGGCTTGGCCCCTCGTCCTCCTGTTAGGAGAGCAGCTGCGGGCTGCTGTCCTCCCGTCCCTCGGGCGGCTCCTCCCTGCTGGGTGCCGGGCCTCTCCGTGGCACCCTCCAGGGGGCAAGTTCCTGGTCGGGCCCCTGCGTGTGTCTCGCGGATGTCCGCTCCTCCAGCCGGGCCTTATCCCTTTGTTCCCGCTCGGCCCGCGGAGCCGCCCCCCGCGAGCAGCGCGAGGAAGGCCGGGGAGGAGGGACCCGGAGAGCGGGTTCCCTCGGAAGGGGCAGGTGCGGGTCGCTGCGCGCGGGGGCAGGTGCTGGTCGCTGCGCGCGGGGGCAGGGCTGGGGCGCGGGGCACCTACCCAGGAGGCCCGTCTCGGGCAGTCCCGCAAACCTCTGCATGACCTTGATGGCGTCCTGCAGCTTCGCGGGGCTCTGCAGCTGGGCCTGGGCAGGGTCGGGCGGCGGCAGGTACCCGTAGCGGGTCAGCCAGTCCTGGGCGGGCGGCGCAGCGAGACGGAAGGGGCGGATGGCGACTCCTTCCCGCGGCCGTCCTGGAAGCCCGTCCGGGCCCCAGGGGCTCATCCCGGACGCCCCCGCGCGCCCCTCTTGAGAGCCCCCCGGCAGCCCCGGGTTTGCCGGGCTCCGACCGGACCCCAGCGCGCGTCCCGGCGCCCACGTCTCCCTCCAGCCCCGACCAGATCTCCACAGGCGGGCGCCAAGGTGCCCGGTGCCAGAGCCCTGGTCCCCAGACCCACCCCCGTCACTGGACGTGCGAGTCGGCGCCCCCCCGACCCAGCCCCGCACTCACCACGCCCAGGCTCACGTCCTGCGCGGCGGGCTCCGGGGCGCGCGCGGGCGGCGGCAGCAGCGCGAGCAGCAGCGCGAGCAGCCGGAGCATGGCGCGCTCCCGCCGGGGTCGCCGCGGGCTCCTGGGGCCCCGGGGCCGCCCTGCAGACCTGACGGGGTCGGGGCCGGGAGAGGCGCGGGCGGAGGAGGCGCCCGCGGCGTCCGGCGGAGGTGGGGGCGATGCTGCAGCCGCTGGGGGTCCCGCGAGGGCTGCGCGGGCCTCGGCGGTCGGGCGGCAGGTGCGTGGCGGCGGCCTCGGGGTCCGGCCGGCTCCGCCTCTCCCGGGCGGGCCGGGGGGGGGGGGCCGGGGCGGGGTGGGGGGGCAGGGAGGGGCAGGGCGGGGACCCAGGGGCGGGGCCGCGGGGAATCACCGAGTTTTAGGAATTCCCGCGGCGAGGCACGGCCGGGTGGTGCCAGCCCCGACCGAGGGGCCCTCGGGGCGCTGCCGGGAGCGCGCCCGGCGCGGGGGCGGGAGGCGCAGCCGAGTTTCTCTTCCCAGAGGCCGGCCCCGCGGGCTCCAGGACGGGGCGCCCCGCTCGCTTCCGCTTTCCCGCGCGCGCGGCCCGGCCGGGGCCTCCCCGCCCCCAGACGCCCGCCCCCCAGACCCCGGGGCGCGGCGGGCCGGCCGGCGGGGGCTTCCGGGCGGAGGCCGGGACGCTCCCCTTCCCGCGGGGCCCCGCCGTGGTCCGCGTGTCCATCCCCCAGCCCAGGAGGCGGCAGTGCGGGCCAGACCGACCAAGTGCCCTGCTGGGGGGAGCCGCGGGCGCCCGGAGGGGTCTGCGCCCCACGTGGGACCCTCGCCGGCAGCCGGGATCGAACCGGCGCTGCAGAGGCTGCCGGCAGCTCCGCAACCCAGCGCTCAACCGCTGCGCCACCAGGGAGGCCCAGCCCCCCCCCCATAACTGACTTTGTTACAAATTGGGGGTTTTCGGGATTCCCCCACCTTGGACAGTTTGTTCCACATGAAGGAAACGATCCGGGATGCAGAAGAGCTGCATGAAGAGACCCACAGGCTGAAGCCTGGAAGGGCCCCGCCTCCCCGGGGCGCCTGTCCCCAAGGGCCACCCTTTGGCACGTAGATGTGCTGACAAACCCCAAATCTCCTGGACCCCATACTTTTGGGGTTCTTACACTTAGGCCTTTGACCTGGTTTGGGTTAATGCTTCGTGCGAGGTGCCGGGTAAGAGCCCAGCCTCTGCTTCTTTGCATGTGGAGCGGGGTCTCCCAGCGCCATGTGAGGACCGGCTCGTCCCGCTGCGTGGTCTCGGCACCCGGGTCAGAACTCACTGGACGCTCCACGTCTTTGCTCTTTCCGTTCCTGCATCTGTCTGTCTGGCTGCCGGTACCGCGCTGTTTCGCGTGCCGTAGTTTTGCAAGCCTGACACACTGGAGTGAGTCAGTCCTCTGGTTTTGTTCTTTCTCCGGGTGTTGGCACTGACCCCGGTGCCCAGACACGCAGGTCTCTTGCTCCACCCCAGGCCCCCCTTCCTGGAAGATGCAGGTGGGGCTGATGCATCCAAGCCCCTGATCTCGAGGAGCTCTTCTGGCCGACCAGTCCACACCCAGCTACCACCCAGAGTGCCCTCCTGGTGCACCCCGGAGGCGCTGCTCAGTGGACAGGCCACCTGCCCGCTCTGCCCCTGGGTGACAGGCCAGTTCTGATTGACTGCCTCACAGGGTGCAAGAGGACTCCGCCCAGATTCAACCCCCCTCCGACTTGCTGCAGCGCCCCCATGTCCACTCATATCAGGGTCCGAGTGGTCACCTGGAGCAGCACATGGGGACACCTGCATGTTGACCTGGAAGGGGCATCGCCATGTCCTCCTTTAGCACACCCCTGCATGCCCATGGGGTTTCCTGGGGCCAGGCCCACATGAGCAAACCTTAACTGGCCAAGTGTCCCTCGCCCTCCTGCCTGATCTGACTCAGCAGAAACCAAAACAGGGAAGTGGTCTCTGTTCAATCTCCCATCTCTTAGAGGGGTGGCTTCCCAGAGGATGTTGTCTGCTCACCACGGGACAGCTGTCCACAGCCAACAGTTGTCCATCAGCTGAGAGCTGTCTGGAGAGCGCTGTCCACGCGGCTCTAGGACCCAGCAGCTCCTCTCACAGCCCAGGGGGAACCGAGGCCCCCACTCCTGAGCACCTGCTCCTCGGCTTCCCTGGGCCCCTGTAAACCATGTCCACTTTGTTTTGTTTTTTTAAAGATTTATTTATTTATTTATACAAGCACTGGGCACAGTCAGAAGCGCGGGGGTGGGGGGTGGGGGGAGAGAATTCGCCAGAGCGGGGAACAGAACAGGCAGACTAATGAAATACACTGCTGAGGGGAGCAGCAGGTGGAAGGAGAGGTCTGCGCGCCATGTGGGACCCTTGCCGGTGGCTGAGGATTGAACTGGTGCTGCAGAGGCTGTGGGCAGCTTCACAGTCCAGCGCTCAACCGCTGCGCCACTGGGGAGGCCCAACCACGTCCACTTTGTTAAGGAGCTCTGTGACTACTGCATTACCCAGGACATCATGGGTATTTCTGATTTCCAGATCATTCCATGCCTTGTAGCCATGACTGATAAAGAGATAGCAAATACCCCTTAGATTGAAATTCTCTATCCAAAGTCCCAGTCACAGCTGCTGGGATGTGCTCACCAGCTTTTTCCAGTCTACATCCCACATAGGTGCTCGAAATGCAAAACCTACCAAGACAAAACCACAGAGAAATTGAAACTCTGATTAGACCTTTCACTAGTAAGGAGATTGAAGCTGTTATCAAAAGTCCCCCAACAACTGCAGCCTCCCTGGTGGCACAAGGGGTTAAGTGTCAGTGCTATGAAGCTATCTACAGCATGAGTTCGATCACCAGCCAGGGAGCTACCCACATGGCGCAGCAGATGTCTCCTGCCTCCCTGCTGTTCCCCTCAGCAGTGGATTTCAGTTCTGCTGTTCTGCTCCCCAGTCTGTGTCTGGTGGGTCCTCTCACTTCCCCCCCAACACTTCTGGCTTACACCCCAGTTCTTTTTTTTTAAGGTTTTTTTTTTTTTAAGATTTATTTATTTAGGGCCTCCCCTGGTGGCGCAGCGGTTGAGCGCTGGGCTGCGAAGCTGCCCGCAACCTCTGCAGCGCCGGTTCCATCCCCGGCTGCTCCCCGGCCACCAGAGGAGGGTCCCACATGGCGCGCAGACCTCTCCTGCCGCCCGCTGCTCCCCTCAGCAGTGTCCTTCGGTCCCTCTGCCTGCTCTGCTCCCCACTCTGGCTCTGGTGAATTCTCTCACCCTCCCGCGCTTCTGACTGTACCCAGTGCTTGTAGAAATAAATAAGTCTTTAAAAAAAAAAAGATTTATTTATTTATACAAGAACCATGGTACAGGCCAGATGTGCAGGAGGGTGAGAGGATTCAGCAGAGACAGGGTGGGGAGCAGAACAGGCAGACTGACTGAAATACACTGCTGAGGGGAGCAGCGGGCGAGACAGGAGAGGTCTGCCACACCATGTGGGTTGCTCCGTGGCCAGCAGGGATCGAACCGGCACTTCAGAGGCTGCGGACAGCTTCACAGCACTGTGCTCAACTGCCTGCGCCACCAGGGAGGCCCTACACCCCAGTTCCTGTATGAATAAATAAAACAAATATTTTTTAAAAATCAGTTGCGTTTTCATACGTGAACAATGAGCAATCTGAAAAGGAAGTTACAATAAGGATTCCATTTATTGCAGCATCAGAGAAAATAAAATACTTGGGAAGTAACTAAACCAAGGAGGTGAAAGATTTGTGCAGTTGAAACTCTGAAACGCTGGTGGAAGAAGTGAAAGAAAAATAAGTGGACGCTGGGCTCTGGCTGTGGGTTGGCAGACTCCTGCCCTGGGGAGAGCAAGGACGGGGGTCTCTGGCGTCCTCGGAGAAAAGGATTTCAGGAGACACCGGCCCGACAGCCAGCGAGAGGTTCCCAGGGCGCAGAGGCCAGGACGCCGCCGCCGCAGGACGTCTGGGGAGGCGCGAGGCGGCTCTGGGTGCTGGGGCAGTGGACTTGCGCCCCTTCTGTGGGCCGGTGCCCACCGCCCCATCCCCGGGTTTTGAATTCCTCCCCCCTCCCCGCTTCGAGCCGCAGGGGGCGGTGGGGTGGGGACGGCCATGACGACAGCAAACAGCTTCAGCTGATGTCTGGGCCAGGGGCGCGAGGGCCCGAAGGCCGCCCAGGGCCGCCCAGAGCAGGCCGGACTGTCAGGTATGCGGATTCTTTCTGGGCCTCCTGGACCGCCCAGATCTTATCGGGTCTTTGAATCGAGGTGGTGCGGGCTGCAGAATCCCGGCATGCGGGCCCACGTCTGCCTCCCCTGGGGGAGTGGGTCAGGGGCGCTCCGGGCCCTCTTGCTGCCGTGAAATGTCAGTTCCCCAGAGCCCTGCAGACCAGCGCCGGCCCAGCCGACCCCAGTGACGCTGCTTCCAGAAAGAGCAAAGTGCACCCGAAAACTCACGCTCCCCTCCAGTCACTCCTGACAGCGAGAGAAGGACACAGTCTGAGACTCACGCTCCCTGGTTTTCCAGCTTGCGGCGGGACAGCGAGGAGAGCAGCGCAGGCTGCGGGGAGGGGACAGGCCAGGGCGGCGTCTCCGTGCAAAGGACTCTTGAGCCAGTGCCGGGGCCTCCGGCGGGCGGGCAGGACGGTCCTTTCACCCGCGCTGCCGGGAGAACAGACCCCCCTCCAGGCGCGCAGCATTCACCCGAGCCAGGTCAACTCCTGAAGCGAGGCCTGAAGCCGCACCGGTCTCCTGAGAGCCCCAGCCGAGAGCGCGGCCGCCTCGGAGGAGGAGGTTTCCGGGCTACGAAAGCCAAAGCTCGGGGAGCAAACAAAATAGACGGATCGGGCTTTATGGACATTTTATTTTATTTTATTTTATTTTTTTGTGGGACCCTCACTGGTGGCCGGGGATCGAACTGGCGCTGCAGAGGCTGTGGGCAGCCTCACAGATCAGCGCTCAACCGCTGGGCCACCAGGGAGGCCCCTATGGACATTTTAAAACTTCGTACGTCAAAAAATACTATCCAGAGGCCCAAAGCGACGCC